GACTACTACAGGTTCATCCTCAAAGACCAAGCTGAGACATGTGATCTGGAAAAAAAAGACCCGCTTTGCTTGAAGAAGGCGGCATCCTGCATCATGACAACGCGCCTGTTCACAAGTCCAGAGTTGTAAATGAGCTTCTTGAGGGCTACTCGTGGGAATTACTGGAACACCCGCCCTATTCGCACGATCTCGCCCGATACAACTTCCACCTCTTCCTTAAGGTGAAAGAAATGATATGGGGTCGGCGATTTGAGGATGAGGACCAGATTCAAAATGATTTGAGAAAAGCCCTCGGGACCTTGGACAAACGATCACTGACCACAGTCTTTGGCCGCTGGGTACATCAAATAGAGAAATGTCTTGAACTTCTTGAATATGTATTTGAATAAGCTTTCTGTTGATACCAAATACAAGGTGATTTATAATTATATGTGAGGACAGCGTGACATGGAAACTTTATTCTGAGACAGACCTCGTATGTTACTCCTTAGCAACATTTCTAATATTCGGCACAACGGTAACCTATTTGTGTTGCAAGTGACATAAAACTCTTATTAGAACTAAAAGTAAAACCAATGGTAAATACTAATGCTGTCAAGGAAATACATCATGAATGACCAGTACAACTTCCGAATATTTTGTTTGTTTTATGTTATAGAAACGGTTCCAACACAATAAGGCCATATACATACAAATACCATGTCGATGATCAGGTAACAAGAGAGTAACAAACATAAAAAGGAGGAGGAGAGATGAGGACGGTAAAAATACTCTTATTTGATGGTGTAAGAAAAACTGGAGGTTCCGGAACTCGCCCCCTCTACAAAACTAGGTCACTCGTGGAAGAATGTGATACCGAACTCGTCCTCGGCAAAGATAGTTATGAAGACTCTTTGTCAAGGGTCAGTATCGATACTGACTCAGTAGCAGTGCACTCGAATACCTACTCGGATGGGTCATGAAAGCTTGTAAACGACACGTACATTGTTTTCATGCTGTAATATTGACTTTTATGTTGTTGTTTTTTGTGTTAAAAATGCTCACTGTTGAATATATTACAGGCATGTGTGAACTGAATCACTCTCTCTTCCTCGCCCCCCCCCCTT